TGAATTGGTTGCCTCTCACACCCTTCCCCAACTGGGGACCTGGCCCTCGACCCAGGCATGCGCTCCGACTGGGAATCGAACAGACGACGACCTTTGGGACTGCAGGCCGGCACTCAATCCACTGGCCACACCAGCCTCGCTTAACCTGATCAAGTTTTAATCACTCCTCTTCTTCTTGTCTCTAGTTGTTTGGAGGTTATAATACATCACATATGCATTATTTTAGTGGTTAGCTTTAACATTTTAAACCCTAAACTTTTTTTACCCTCAGTCAATCCTCTTGCCAAGCACGAAAAGATCATCTCCAACTTTTCCATGTTGGAATTTTGGTTTCAGTTTATTAGGCAAATTAATTTTTTTATTAAGTATGAAGAATTACTTTTACACGTTGATAGATTTTACAGGCAGAGTTCTTTGTCCACTACTTTTTATTAAGTTTTATGTTTTTCTTGGTCTCAGATTGAAAAAAAAGTCTATTACAGTATACTTTGAGTAATCCTTTTAAGAAAGGGTCTGTGGGTGGTAAACTGATGGACCCTTTGTGTGAAAAATGTTGACTTGGTCTCCTCAAAAATTGAAAGGTCATGTCTTTTGACCTTTCTTGTTCACTTACATTCTTGTGCATTTTGAGGTAAGCTGCTTTTTTTTCTCCATTCTGGAAGATACTAGAGTGGTTTTCTCCTTATTAAACATTTCATTCAGACACCACCTTATTTTTTTAAACAATTTTAGCTCACTGATGAGCATCGAGTTTTTTTTTAAGATTTTATTTATTTATTTTTAGAAAGAAGTGAAGGGAGGGAGAAAAAGAGGGGAGAAACATCTATTAGAGGGAGAAACATTGATCTGTTGCCTCCTGCATGTGCCCCAACTGGGGACTGAACATGCAACCCAGGCATGTGCCCTGACTGGGAACCGAACCAACGACCCTGTGCCTCGTGGCACCCTTTGCCGTGTGTTGTGGCGCCCAATGAACTGAGCCACACCAGTCAGGGCAGGATGTCATCTTTTTGGTAGTCACTCACATGCGTCCTGTTTGGCCTTTGATATGTCCTTTTAAGCTGAAGGCTTGTGCCTTACTTTTGCTTGGGAAACTTACTTCTATAATTTATTTCTTTAATTATTTCTTCCTTCCATTGTCTCTTCATTTCTTCTAGATCTCTTACTAAATAAATTGATTCTTTTAACCTTTCTTCCATATTCTCCACGCTGTATTTTTATTCTCTATTCCGGCTGATTTCACTGAGTCCCTCTTTCCTCACAACAATAGATCAGTATTCAGTTGCTGTGTCCACTCTATTGTGCATCCAATGAATTTCTTTTGGCATTACATTTTTAAATCTCCAAAAATACTTAAAAAAATTTTTATTGTTCCTTTTTCAAAGCAAGCAACATGTTCTTGCTTTACAGATGTAGTGTTTTCTTGAAGCAGATGTTAGTTACAATTTTTATCTCTTCTTGTTCTCAAACTGTCTGTTCCTCTCATGGTCAGTGAGTCTTTGCAGCCACCTTGAGCCTTCCCTTCATGATTTATGCTTTTGCTCAAAAGTCTGGTCATTCTAAGTTGTCCATTTATATTTATAATAAAGGACTAGACTTAACACACACAGCAAGTTTGCTACCCATTAACTGTGAAATTTTAGACACATTTCTTAATCTTCCTATGCCTCGGTTTACTCACCTCTAAAAAAGAAATAATGATTATTTCACAGGATTGTTTCATAAAGAATTAAATAAATTACCACATACAATGCAAGTGTTTAGAACAGTACCTAGCACACTGCAAATGCCTGGTGCATGTGGGTGAGTACTACTGCTGTGGGTGTTCTCTCTCCTGGTGGGCTGACTGCAGTTTTCCTAAGTGGGTGAGGTGACGGGCTACATGGACTTGAAGTTGGAGAGCAGGCAGGCAATGGCCTTATCTCTCCACCAACTGACGTAACCCTACTGGTAGAGGGCTTGAGAATATTACGCTATTAGATAGGACTGGGTTTCATCCCATCACTTACCACCCCTGTCTCCTTGCCACAAACTTGAATCCTGCTGTTCTCTTAAACTCCCACGTCCCCACCAAAAGTTTTTCTTGGCAAGCAATTCTCTTTCTTTACAGTGTAATTCTTAGGTTCACAGTTAAATGTGTATATTGCCTGCTGCTGGGGTTAGATTGGAGAACTTCAGGGTGAAAGCAGTTCTTTAATTCCCCAGTGACTGCCGTACCCTAACTTTCCCTTGTTCACTTTGTGCTTGATATTCTGCCAGATCTGTTCGGGCATTGAAGTAATTTCCTCCCATGACTGTTTGCTTTATGGTTGTTATTTTCTGTTATTGTTTATCTGCTCTCATCTGCTTTGTAACAGCCAATAATTTTTCACAATTTCTGGTTAGCTAATGGTTCCTTTCTTCCTTCCATCCTTCTGTCCTTCCTTCCTTGTTCTCTTAAAAAATTATTTTCTGTCTTTTTAATGGATCCTGGGCAAAAAGAAGGGTGGCTGCTAAACTTCAGCCCTTTAACTTGAATCAAGCCATATTATTTTCATACTAGTTAATACATTAACATCTGCTGATTACAAGGATAAGATCTGTTTATGCAATGCATCTATTTTTAGAGATACATTTCTGTATATTATACACATTTCAAATATATTTTGAAAATAAATTTTCAAAATTTATTTTTGATACATTTAAGCAAGGAGTTAATCTGATGACCATTTAAAATACATAGCAAAAAAAGGCACTAATACATCAAGTATTCATCGAACTATATAATAGTTGTATCTATCTATCTTGTATAACTATAATGATTTATAATTAATCTGGGAGCTATTTTGCTCTTGTTCCTTTTCTTTTAATAAACAGAAGTATACCTGAAGGACTTATAGTCCATGTTCTCACCATTTCTGAAGGCTTCTTATCAAATATACTCTTATTACCCATAATTTTATGTATTGATCTGTATAATGTATTTCAAGGAAAAAATTCAGTATCAGCTATTCTTGCTCCACTCCCATTTTTTTCACCCCCATTTTTTTTTTATTGTACCAAGACTAATACAGCACACATCACTAAGCAAAAAAAGCTATTTACTATGCAAAAGGCACAGTCCGTGATTGGCATCTAAGGCCAATTGATCTACCCATTACCACTATCTCCCCACCCCACGAGCACTACTATGAAGCTATTGATTTAAACACTGTGGATCGGTTTCCATTTTCTGATTTTGGGCAGGCCAATTAAGAAAGTGAGTAATTGTGATTACACTGCTTCAGGATCAATTACATTTGATGCAAGACAAAGTGTTCTTTTTGGGATACACGTGCAAAATTTGTTTTGATCCAGTGTGCTTAAAGTGCCTAATGAAATCTAAAATAATTAATGTATACCTCCACAATAGCAAAACATATTAATATACATACTTAAAATAACAAAGGCTATTTTCTTTGAAAAATATTCATCATTTTCTTAAAATTAGCTTAAGAGAAAAACAGTGTTCATGTACATTCCCCAATGTGAGATAAAAATCAAGTATCACCTACACATTTATCTTTAAAAGGACTTAATTAATTGTGAAAGACAAAATGTAAACCTCATCCAATGAATACAGAGGGAATCTACGCAACGAAAACATAGTTTTTAAAAAAAATAATCCCCTTTAAATACAGAAATATAAAATGTTCCTTAGGTAACTTAATGAGAAAAAAATTCTTTTAGTTCTAAATTTTGTCCTAACGTGGTACATGACCTTTGTCATTGGGCTGACATTGTTGGAATGATGGAAATGAATTCACCACTGGTGTTGGAAGCACATCTATTCAGAGTGATGCAACTCATAGTCTTGTGCTCAGTAATATTGATCTGTGTTGTCTAATAGAAAAATAATAAACAATTACTAGGCAATGTTGGGAAAAGTAATCAGTTTTTATATATCACTAATACAGCAGACCTCCCAAAACATAAAGGTGATGATCTGCATAAAATCAATGTGTTATGCTACATTGCTTAGATTCATCTTTGTAGGTTCTCGGCAATAAATGGCACAATATTAGGCTTGAATTACTCATAAAATGAAAAGGCATATGAAGAAGAAAGGTTGACTATATTTAACTACAAACTTATTTTAAAATGTCTATCTCCTAAACTTGGAGGTTTTTACCATAACAAATTCTGCTTTAAGCTAGTAAGCTTAGATAAATAAAATGTCTCCATTCTCTTAGAATAAAAAGATAAACCTAAACCAGAAAAATATAAAAGAAAAGGATTCAAAGATAATTCTTATATATGCATGAATATAAACACTGTATTAATTGCTAATAGTTTCTGGATTTCACTAGAAATGTATAAAATTATATAAAAACAATGAATAATGACAAAACCCAATCCCAGAAAAAGCTCCTTTGAATAATACTCACCTATGAAACCTTTACCAACTAAATAAATGTTCTTTTGAATTTTATCAAAATCAGTTTGTAAAATAAGTTTAAGTAAAAAGGGAAAAATGGATGGGTTTTAAGTACTGACACAATCAATAACTTTCCACTTATGAGGCTCAATATAACTATAAAATGTTTAAAAAGGTATCTTCTCTGGGCTAGTCAGTAATATTAAAGTTTTTTTATTTCTCCTTAATATTCCTCATCAATTTTCTCCTGAATTTTCTAAAACCGCAGTAAGAAGTAAAAAAACACAAAAAAACAAAAACCACACACACACACACACACACACACACACACACACACACACACACGAGTAGTTTCTTACTTTGGGCAACAAACTACGAATCCCCATCACATATGGCAGACTTCTGGGTAGTTATATAATGAATACTAAACATACATACCCTGTACAAAATTTATGCAGCCTTTCCATGGTGGTCCAACCTCTACCAACAAAGGTACATTTGTTTAAATGCTTTGTCTCTCAAAGCAAAAAAGCTGTTGAGAGCTCAGTGTTGGTTTGCTATCCTTAAGAGGTGATATAAAACACAGAAAAACAACTGAACTTACCACAGCTGGAAACTGGCAGTCTGAGTTGAATCACAAAAGTCAATACCCACTGAAACAGTAATGGATCCCTCAGGCTCAAGAGATTCTAGGAAATTAGAAAATTTAGACAAGAAAACACAAAGGATGTGAAAAAGAGGCAAACTAAACACTGAAAACTTATGTAGGGCTTCTAGTGTGGTTATAATAGTCAAGTTTAATGATGGCTTATAAGAACACTTTCAAAATAAGAATATTAGAGCAAATTGTAAAGTAACTTCACTACTGAAGACTTTCCTTCACAACTTAATTCTGCACACACTTCAATGAACACATTATACCATTTTGTTTCAGAAACGCACCTCTTCCTGAGAACGTCATGTTTTACAATCCTGTCTCTACGGGCCCAGAAGGAGAGGAGATTCCACGCTGTGTGGAATAGTTGTGATGAGCTATGCGTACTTTTAAGAGATATGTATTTAAAACTATGAAATATTTATCTAGGTACAAAAAGTAAAATTTTAAACAATGTTCCAAATTTCCACTGGATAAAATCAAAACACAAAAATTTAAAGATGTAAATATAAAGCAAAATTGGAAGAAATTAATTTGTTATACTCAGAAATTAACCAAGACAACTGGCATTATAAAAATCAAATGGTAAGCCCAATTGTACTATTCAAAAAATTACTGAAAGAAAATCTAGGAAAAGATTGTCTTGGAAAAAAAAAACAAATAAAATGACATTTTATAGATTTGTAATTTTTATTTTTTAATTTTTTAAATTGTTGTTTAAGTACAGCTGTCTCCATTTTACACCCCCCACCCCAGCCACCCCCACCTCCCACCTTCGGTCCTACCCCCCTTTGGCTTTGTCCATGTGTCCTTTGAAAAGCTTTATCTATCAGCTAACCCAGTATAGGAAATAACTATATAATGTACATGCAACACTGGTGTTTTTCAGTTCACAATGATAAAAACTTAAGACGATGACAAGTTTTTATTCTGTTTGGGATTCCAAAATTTGACTGTATGTCAGATGAAGAATGGGAGATCTTACATATATACTTCTTAGTATAAACATTTATACATATTATATTTAAATAGATACCACCCACTTCTGATATCCATACTAAGTCTTCAGTGTAAGTGCTGTCATGCTGTACAATAGCTTTATATTTACCTTTATCTATTCTGTGTATCTTATTAGATATATGTAGTTATATCTTAGCAGACACATGCGAATCCAGTAGGCTGTAACTATCCTAGAGCTTGTTTATGAGTATGATTTCCATGAACTGTTAACCATGACAGAGAGGATGGTATAGATGGGACAAAAGAATAATTCAATCAGCTTATTATATATATTAAGAAGAATAATTCAATCAGCTTATTATATATATTAAGAAGTATGTTTATGCTTCAACTAAGTCCAAACCCCACATAGAGCCAACCCGACCTCCAAGGCGCAGTTTCTCACATTATAAGAGGGTACTTGTTTGAAGCTGATTTTTAAATGTTATTGGTTTGTTTAGTGTTATGTAAGTTGAATTTTCCAGTTTGAATTTCTTTTGTCTATAAAATTAACATTTATGCAAGTACCAGAAGACTTGCTGCCAAAATCTTTGGCAAATGTGTTATCGTAGAATAACTACAATGATGGTTTTTTTTCTTATATTTTTCCAAAATTTACACCCCATCAGTTAGTTCACAGCTCTGTCAGTTGCATTGTTCCAGGCTATTCTTCAGTGAGTCCTTAACACTATCATCTGTGCCCTGATACAACAGGGTCTGGTCTAGGTGGCAGGTGAGCACCACACTGGTAGCAAACACTGTCACCTCCGTCACATGATGGCATTCATGATTTAGACCTCTCTTTCTACATCACACATTCTTGTATTTCATTTGATGAAGTGACAGTTCACAAGGTGCCCTGTTCACAGCGCTCTTTGACATAGTTTAGTATCGTCTTCGGTGTTGAGATAATTACATGTGAGTTTAGTGCCATCTAATCCTGAAGGGCAGCGTATGATCAGTGGTATGTTTTATTATATTATATGAATACTTCAAGAACAAAGTAATCAGCATAACATTATTCATATAATGAACTTTTATAATATTTGAAGCCTACTAATTGGGGAAGTTTACTCAATCAGGTGTCTTTATTTGGATACTTCTCTGGATCACTGCATATACATGAGAGGGTTACAGAGAAATGGCTGAAAAACACTGGCTCCAGTACACCACACTGTTAATAATGAAAATGAAATCACACAGGGGGCCATCTACCTTGATGTGACAGTTGTTAGTAAGTGGTGAAATCTTAGCTAAACTCAAACTTGTCAACTGTTAACATAAAGTTACTGAACAGCCTAAGGCTACTCTTTCTTTCTGTGTGTGTATGTATATGTTTTACATCTCATACATTGGTGTCTTTGGCAAAAATGTCATGTTATTTCTAATATTCTTGCAAGGAATTCAGTTTCACAGTAAAGGCAGGGAAAAAAAATAAGAAGTCTTGAGGACTTCCGCCAAGATGGAGGTTTAGGTGGATGTGCCGTGCCTCCTCACACAACCAAGTTTAGGGACAACTAAATATTAGCATCAGAAAACACAACCAGAACACGGAAAACTGAACTTTTCGGAAGTCCGCTAACAACAAATTCTTCAGCCCGACTGGTAAGGGGCGAAACTGGCGTCTGGTGAGGAGTTGTAAAGGAGGGCTCGGTCGGACCCGGGCGCGGAATCCAGACGCGCGGATCCAGACGCGGGTTCCAAACCCAGGATTGGACCTAGTGAGCGACCGAGCAACCCACCGGGTGAGCGACTGCTGAGGAGACAGTGGGGAGGCGGTGCAGCGAGTTGACTGCGGTTGCCTAATTGCGCGCGAGCGAGGGAGTGGGCGGTTGGACTGGCCGCAGCGGCGATAGAGGGCGCCGCCATTTCCCCGCTCTGACCACGCCCCCACATAGAGCGTCACAACCCAGCGACCTGGGAGTCCAAGGCGCAGTTTCTCACATTTAAAGGGCCAGAACAGACCAAAAATGTCGCAGGAAGACCTCAAAGCCCCAGAGATAAATCTAAGCGACGAAGAAGTAGCAAAACTCTCAGACGCACAGTTTAAAACACTGGTCATCAGCTTCCTCACAGATCTGGTTGATTATAGCCACAAATTAGAGAAACATATGAAGGCTAAATTAAGGGAAATGAATGGAATTCCACAGGAAACCCATAGAGATGAAAAGGAAACTGGGACTCAAATCAATGGAGTGGACCAGAAGAAACCAAATAATGGCCAAACAGAAAAGAGTCAAGGAGCAAGAATTCAAAGAAATGAGGAGAGTCTTAGGAACCTCCAGGACATCTTTAAATGCTCCAATATCCGAATTATAGGGGTACCAGAAGGGGGAAAGACACAACCACCAGTGGAAAAACTATTTGAACAAATAATAAAAGAAAATTTCCCCAATCTGGCAAAGGAAATAGACTTCCAAGAAATCCAAGAAGCCCAGAGAGTACCAAAAAGTTGGACTCAAGAAGAAACACACCAAGGCATATCATAATTACATTAGCCAAAATTAAAATGAAGGAGAGAATCCTAGAAGCAGCAAGAGCTAAGGGGACAATCACCTACAAAGGAGTCCCCATCAGACTGTCAGCAGATTTCTCAAAAGAGACCTTACAGGCAAGAAGGGGCTGGAAAGAGGTATTCCAAGTCATGAAATCTAAAGACCTACAACCAAGATTGCTCTATCCAGCAAAACTTTCATTTAGAATGGAAGGACAGATAAGGTGCTTCTCATATAAGACCAAATTCAAGGAGTTCATCATCACCAAGCCCTTATTATATGAAATGTTAAAGGGACTTATCTAAGAAAAAGAAGTTACAGAAACATGAACAGTGAAAGAACAACAAGCTCACAGTTATTAACAACCACACCTAAAACGAAAGCAAACTAAAGAACAGCTAGATCAGGAGTGGAAATATAGAAATGAAGATCTCAAGGAGGGTTAGCAACAGGGGAGTGGGAGGAGGAGATGGGGGGAGAAGGTACAGAAAATAAGTAGCATAGACAGTAGATAGAAAATAGATGGGGGGGGGGCAAGAATAGCATGGGAAATATAGAACCTAAAGGACTTGAGACACATGGACATAAACTAAAGGAGGGTAATGGTGGGGTTGGGGGGGCAGGGTGGAGGGGAATGAAGGGGGGAATAGAACAACTGTAACAGCATAATCAATTTAAAAAAATAAATAAATTTTAAAAAAAAAGAAAAAAAATAAGAAGTCTTCAACTATTATAGACAAAAAGATCAGTGACCAGTAAGAAATCTGCTGAACTCATTCACATATGCATATGTGCTTATTAAATAAAACAATGATCTTACCTTATTTCAAAAAATATAAAAATACAGTATTTGTTCTATGTTGCAGTTTTCAGATGTTTTTAGAGGCATAATGAAGACACATCATACTCTGTAACTCTACTGTAATTTACTGATAAAAGAGACTAGGTGGTATTATGTCCAAATATCTACTACATGGGAAAGAACTCTGTATTTTGAGGATATTCAATAAATGGCAATGAAATTAATGAAACATTATAGTCCTAAAATTTTGCCTAAAAAGCAAGAGCTTACTACTAATACTGAGACAATGGTATAAATTCATATTTTATTTCTGTGTTAGGGTTAGACTAAGAAATTTATCATTATTTACTTCTTCTATTCTACACAGGCCAGCAAAAGTTCAGGTCAACTCATTATGCCAACTAAAGAAATGTCAATAACTGTTCTACTGTGTTTCACCTTTGGATAACATTTTCAACCCTCAGTCAATTCATACATCAGCTGCTTGACACTTCTTAATTCTTTAACTGGGTAAAAAGACATTACTTCTAAGCAATCAAAGAACACAAATTGCTATAATCACAAAATAATTTGAAATATATCATTATGTTAATATATTTATATATTAACTTTACTAAGTAAATAAATATCAGGATACTCTATATTCTTTAAATAGTGTCTTAATTACCAAATTATTTTTTAAATAAAGGGTAATAAGTGGGTTCTGAAATCACTTTATTTTACCTCTACTTTACTTTGCTTACTTATAAAAATCTAGCATATTCAGCCCTGGCTGGTGTAGCTCAGTGGATTGAGCGCAGGACTACGAACTAGAGTATTGTGGTTCGATTCCCAGTCAGGGCACATGCCTGGGTTGCAGGCCAGTTCCCAGTATGGGATGCACGAGAGGCAACCATACATTGATATTTCTCTCCTTCCCTTCCCCTCTAAAGATAAATAAATTTTTAAAAGTCTTTAAAAAAAAATCTATCATATTCAATCTATTCATAAAAATATAACATGAAGAATAATTTCTTTATTGAAGGACTCATGAAAACTATATTTGTACAGGACTCAACAATGTCAAAGAGGCCAAGTGAAGAAAAATAGAATAGCTATGTGAAATAATGAATAAAGAAGGCACCAGTCGTGGTCAAAAATCCTATGCTCAACTTAAGTATTATAAAAAGGAACTATTTGGAACTTTCTGATTATATTTCAGGGATTCAGAGACAGAATCCTCCACCAAAGATATTTTTTTCATTGCTTTGAAAGAGAGACGAAGGAAGAGAGAAAGAAAGGAAGCAAGAGAAACATCGATGTGAGAGAGACATTGATTGGTTGTCTCCCATATGCGCCTGGACCAGGGGCCGTACACACTCGCCCAGGAACACAACCTGCCACCGATGTACGTGCACTGACTGGGAATCAAAGCCATGACCTCTCAGTTACAGGATGATGCTCCAAGCAAATGAGCCACCAGCCAGGGCTTTATATTACCTGTAAAAAATTATTTATTTATTTATTTATTTATTTATTTATTTATTTATTTATTTATTTATTTTTAGAGGGGATGGGAAGGAGAGAGGGAGAGAAACGTTAATGTATGGTTGCCTCTAGTGCATCCCCTGCTGGGAACTGGCCTGCAGGGAACTGGCTTGCAACCCCGGCATGTGCCCTGGCTGGGAATTGAACATCGATCCTCTGGTTCGCAGACCTGTGCTCAATCCACTGAGCTACACCAGCCAGGGCTTTTATATTACTTTTAACAGATTTTGCCTGAAGCTTCTCCCAACAAAACTTTAGGGTTGTCTCCACTTCCATAAAACAGAAATAGAGACACACATTCTAATTATCACCCTGTTTTAAACTCAAAAGAAGACACACAGTTATTACACAATTTTTTAAGGCACAGTTTTGGTACAATACTTCAATAATGGAAGGGGGTGACGTTGGTGAGAAGGTATCGTGTAACGGGCACTGAGGTACCTGGAAAGCACATGCCGCACCTGAGGGCAGCCTGTCAGCACCCGCTGGCTGTGCTGCATGTGGGACTAAAGACCCAGTGCTGCCGCATCTTGTGTTTTATTCCGGAAAAAGGAACTTCCTGGTACGTGTGCATAGGAAGACAGAATAGTACATATCCTTTCATTTGTCACTCCCTCCACTTTTCAATTTACGGAATATGAAAGGAAACAGGGAAGGGGAGAAATGGCAGGTACTATATGCAAAAAGACAAACTAAAATCATGCAGGAATGGAACTGAGGCAGTGAGGTAGTGGGAGTGGGGATGCAGACAGGTGCAACGGGAGGCAATTTTGATTCCTCAGCCCCATCCTTTCATGATTATTGGTATTACCCTTGCTGGAATTTGATTCCTAAGGGCAAAAGCTATTGTGTATAATAAATTCAATTTAAAAAGGGAAAACAAACATAAACTATGTTAATAGTCAATAAAATAATATGTATTCTACTTTACTTTTTAAAAGTAAAATGTAAAAGTAAAAATGTAAAGTTTACATGTGAATGTAAAAATGTAAATCTACCTTACTTTTTACAAATTTAATGATCAAATACAGTTAAAGTTTCAAACGAGAATATTTACCTATTGGATTAAAAACGTGCATTTCCATGCCAATAGGAAGTTTTTTTTCTCCTATGTGGATATTTTCGATCTTTCGATCTGTCGTATTATTCAGTGTTATTTGCACAGAGACCATCTTACTGCCAAAAATGCAAGGCTGTCTTGAAAAGAGGTAGTGGGCAGCAAGGCCTTTTCCGCTCATCCGGTGAAGCAGCTCGTGGGTCTTCACTGGAACGCACACGGGAGTACTGACCTGTTGCACATGTAAAAGAAGAAGATGAATTAGTAAATATAATTCACAATTCTCTTAAAAATATGTAAAAGTTTATGACATTAACTTTTGCTTTCCCTAAAGTATTACACAAATCACAATAACAAACATTAGCAGGACATCACACACATAAATATTAAGTCAGAAATTATATTAAAATGTAAATACCTTCAAAGCAGTATTAATTTTTCTGTACTCTGTAGGCATATATTAAAACATTTTGAAAATATATGTCTAGTAAAACATATACATTTATATAGAAATATACTCAATTATATATTCAAATATATTCAATTTTTTAGAGCTTATAAACTTTTTTGTTCATTTTTTTCTAGGTATACTATATTTGGGCATCTTGGTAATTTTCTTACTAGTTTTAATAATTTGTCAGTTGATTTTCTCAGGGTTTTTAACTTTAACGACAGTCTTATCTGCCACTGATGAACATCTTATACCTTCATTTTCAATTGTGATTCCTTTAACTTTTTTCACCTTGAATTTCTTTCCCTCTAAACTGAAGACTATGATCTACTTTAAAGTGGTTTCTTCCTTTGCTTTCATGATTAAAAAGGATTTTCCCTACTCTGAGCTCAGGTAACTTCTTTACTTACATTTTCTTCTAAAGCTTTCATGGTTCCATTTTTTTTTAATTCATATGAAACGGGTATAGGTTTATTGACTCCATATTCAAGCACTTTCCTCTAAGTATTTAACCACGGCCTGCACAGGATTTAATGTTAGCCTTTCCTTAATGATTCTTTTCCTTTTGCTAGATCTTCTTTTATTTTTACAATCAAATCTTTTAACTGTATTCCGTTACCATTTATCCTCCTCATACCCCCACCCCTCTGCAATCATCAGTGTTGTCCATGTCCATGAGTCCTTTTTCCTCGATCTTTCCACCCACTATCCCCCCCACAAAGAGCTGTCAGCCTGCTCTCTATCGGTGAGTCTGTCTCTATTTTGCTTGTTAGCTGAGTCTATATATTCAACACAATTCTTATCAAGGTACCCATGATGTATTTCACAGAGCTAGATAGAGCAAATATTTCAAAAATTTATATGGAATTACAAAAGTCTCCCAATAGCACCAGCAATCTTGAGAAAAAAGAATGAAGTTGGAGGAATTATGCTATCTAATATCAAACCATACTAATCAAAACAGCATGGTACTAGAATAAAAACAGACACATAGATCAATGGAACAGAATAGAGAGCCCAGAAATAAACCCACACTTTTACAGTCAATTAATATTTGACAGAGGAAGCAAGCCCATACAATGGGCTAAAAGATAGTTTATTCAATAAATGGTGTTCAGAAAATTGGACAAATATATGTGCAGAAAAAATAAAACTAGGCTACCTTCTTACATCATACACAACAATAAATTCAAACTGGATTAAAGACTTAAATGTTAGACCCCAAACCATAAAAATCCTAGAAGAAAACATGGTCAGTAAAATCAGACACTGTTCACAACAGTATTTTTTTTCTGAGGTATCCCCTCAGGAAAGGGAAACAAAAGAAAAAATAACAAATGCAACTACATCAACTAAAAAGTTTTTGCACAGCAAAGGAAACAATCAACAAAATAAAAGGCAACCCACTGAATGAGAGAATGTATCTGCTGATAAATCTGATAAGGGGTTAATATCCAAAATTTATAAAGAACTTATAAAACTCAACACCAAAAACCTGAATAATCCACTTAAAAAAATGGGCAAATGACCAGAATAGACACCTCTCCAAAGAGGACAGATGGCCAATAGACATATGAAAAGATGCTCAATGTCACTAATCACCAGATAAATGCAAACTGAAACTACAATGAGATACCACCTCACACTGGTCAGAATGGCTATCATCAATAAATCAAAAAACAACAAGTGCTGGAGAGGATGTGGAGAAAGGGGAACCCTTTCTCACTGCAGTATTATTTACAGTCACCAAGATATGGAAGCAGCCCAGGTGTCCATGAGTAGATAAATGGATAAAACAACCATGGTACATATACACAATGGAATACTACTTGGCCATAAAAAAGAAAAAACTGCCCTCTGCAACAGCATAGGTGGACCTGGAGAGCACTGTGCTAAGTGAAATAAGCCAGTCAGAGAAAGACAAATACAATATGATTTCACCCATGTGGACTCTAATGAACAAATGGCTTCAATGATGTCTAAGTACAAACATTCTAATTATTTATGTACTCGGAGACATTTTTTGACTTAACTGTTAATCCAGTACTACATTGTTCTATTTCTTAAACCTTACATATTATGATTACATTATTGGGTAAAACAAAATGTCCCTCATTCTTCCCCTACCCCAGTATTTTCTTGCCTAATTATCTGTTAATCCTTCCATTGAACTTTGAGCTTCTTTTAGTTAAATTCTCCCCTTAATCTTGAGTAACATCAGAGGCAGCATGTTAACAGAAAAACAGTACATTCTAAAATCATACCTTGCTCATCTTTCCAAGCAAAGTCCAAGTATGGCATGTGGCTTGACCTGACATGGGCAAGCTTTTAAAAAATAATCAATTTGTAATTCAAAAAGCCTAATCAAGATTGCTTCCTAACAACTGCACTATCCCAACTAGGTTTTCTATTATAATTGTGAAAGTACATATTAATCTATTTGACATGTTCACTATGCCACTGATACCTCATTACATTAAAAACCTTATTCATAGTTGAAAATTCATCAACAAAAATCCAAAAGTTAAATGCCATATATGCAAAATGATAAAATGTCTTCGAAGCATCATTAAAATACAGTATTCCTTTTCTAAAATCCCTACTTATAAAGGTGAACATTTACTTAGGTAAATTTTAAATTTTGGCTATACAAAGTAATAGGGCAGCTGACCTATGACTTCTACTTTGGCCTTTTGATGATCATAACAAGATTCTAGCATTTTAAGTTTTCAAACCACTTTCACTACTAAGCTTAGGTTCTTTTCCTTGCATAAGAATTATTTCCAAAACTCTTCTGTATCAATGCTCACACTAAGTTCTATTTCCTTTACAAATTCGAGGGCGGGGTTTATTAGCACAACCCAAAACAGCATACCTTAGCCGTAAACATTCATTCAAAGACATAGTGGGTGTCCTATAAATAAGCAAGCAGATACACAATGCGTATGTAAGTTTACACAAGCATATGTACATAAATCCCCATGTCACCGAGGCTATGACAATCAACTTTAAACACCAACCCTTAACTGGATAATTATATTTTTCAGTGTCTTATGTTTATTCTCTAAATTAGATGAGAAACATATTGGAGACAGTATCCAAGTTCCAGAGACAGTTTTCATTATATTCTTAAATACAGGTTGTGGTGGCCAGTCATTGGGATATAAAGTACAGCACAGGGAATATAGTCAATAATATTGTAATAATTATGTCTGGCGCTAGACAGGCATTTCTCTGTGAGTTATGTACAGGTCTAATCACTCTGTTGTGCACCTGAAATTAGTGTAATATTGTATGCTAACTATAATTGAAAAATAAAAAGAATTAAAAAGTGAAAAAAAACTCATGAAAGCTTGGGCTACATATAATATAGGGAAGTAAAGAAAGCTGGAGAGAGGCAAGTGTGGAGCAGAATCAGAAAAGCAGAACAAAAACAGGGTGTGTTTTACAAGCAGCCAGGAATTAGCAATTCAAATACCACCTGAGGTGCCGAGAAGGTACCACACCATCTTGACTGGTTTACTGACTCTCTTTCTCAATCGAACCTTGGGACATGTGGCCTAAATACTTGTTTTTTTCCTACGTTGTCTCAAAATTCTACACCTGTATTGTAATAGTTAAAAAGATGTATGTGCAAAGACACACAGTATGATTCTGTCTACTCATTTTCCCACACTTCAGAGAGTTCAAGAAGCACTCTCTAATGAATTCAACAGCTAGAGATGTCCTCCTTGGCAATCCTGAAAGGTTACTGGTGAAAATGCATGAAGTTCTATGTTTCCTTCTCTAATAAGTAGCATCACACATGGCACTTTGTGGTAATTATATATACTTTTTTTAAACTACAGTAAGGGGCTAACTGAAAATGTTTGGTTGCTTTTTTGGAAACCTGTTTTCTAAGTTCATACAAGTCATATTAAGCCAACGTCCTCTAATGTCTATAGATCAACTACAGATGACATTTTGTTCAAGAAAATCAGTAGGTTCCATAAATCCTTCAACAATTAATTGTAATATGATTAATCCTGATAAGAAAGCAAGATTTTAGTTTACTATTTTGTACAACTGATTAGATACTTATGTTCCCCAGAAACATATATATGATGTGTGGATGCTTATGTTCTAAGATGCTAAACATTGTGAATGGATTTTCCAACTTCACATTTTATAAATATAATTTTCTTAAATGTAAAAAAAAAGTAAGTTAATTACAGAATGACCTAGATCTGGGTTGTGAAAATGAGGCTGTAAGAAAAAACGCTGACATTTAACAAGTTTGAACAAAACAGCTCATACTGGGCAAAGGTCATCAAATACAGTTCACAAGCCAATTATGGCCTGCTGCCTGCTTCGTGAAGTTTTACTGGGACACAGCCATACTTATTCATTTACGCATTGTCGATGGTTGCTCTCCAATGTAGAAACAAGTAGTTGCTCAGCCTAATATATTCACTATCTGGACCTTTAGAGAAAAAGTACACTTCCTCTCCTCTCCCCTTCCCCTATTTTTGGGGAACAATTCTCCACACAGGTCTCTTATGCTTCTGCATGATTTCTGAGCAAAGGCATTAACGACTTTGTTCCTGACAATTTTTTCAAGGATGTTTGTACAGTGAACAGCCTTTGGAAACTGGTAAATGCCTCCCTCTGGGGACAAAAGTTAGACCAGTTTGCTAACAGCCCCTTATCAAAGATGGGGAGCTCCTATACTCTGGTCCTCTCTGTGTAAAGCAGCACGCTGCATGTACTCTCACCGTCTGGCCTTCATCTTGTCTCCTGGT